ATATGTAACAGAAGCAGAAGGCATAAACTGACAACACTAAGATGGAAATACAGCAAAACACCATTGCCTTATAATCTTTTTCCATTCAGAAGAGGGTGCCTATTTGCAGTTAGGGCTTACAGCGAGTCACTTTTGGGAGTTAGATGGTCTTATAAATTGTTTACATAAAAAATAAATACACTAGTTAGAAGAGATTTCCAAAATGTAACATCAATTTCCCACTCACGTGCTCTAGCAGTTGGTAATCAAATACCTAATTGCCTCTAATGCTGCAGGAATGTATGGCCATGATTAGAAACACTGATAATCTTATTCTCTATTTATTGATTGAATCTTCTTTAAAAGCCTTCTAAGAAGGCTGTTGCATTTTCTGGAAGTTATTTTTACAGTATAAATGTGTATTGTATTTAAAAAAAATTTTTTAATCCATTTTCAACCTCCCATTATTCAGCCTTATTGAATGACTGCAGAGTTTAATATTACTCCCCTTTTCCTTCTTATATCCCATGAATTACATTTGACATATCTACTCTACTTGCCCTTTTTCTAAATTAAAATGCTCTAGTATTTTCTCACAATGGATTTAAACCATCTCCATTTTGAAGTAAGGTGATCAAAATGGCCCGATTATTCCAATCTACAATTGTCCAGTTGGATAACAGCAGTACTATACTGGGAGTTTTATTTTCATTTTTTTTTCCCCTAAGAAGCAGACAGTGTGAAAATTTTGGGTTTCACAGCATAGTGGTGCAACTAATTACTGAATCTAAGAGAAAGATTAGTTTTGCACACTGGTACATTTTATGTTTGGATGATGTTGTTTATGAAGTGAATAAAATGAGCATCAGGTTGTAGTTTTATTGGTTCTTTCGGGCTCCCTTTATATATTTATAGGTGTTAGGAATTTTTGACTTTTTATTGAATTTACTATTACATTACTTTTGCTGTATTTTTGAATTGCTTTAGGACCCTTGCTGAACTCCAGAACATGAGCTGTACTTTGTTAATGGGTCATAGGACTGTTTGTTTCTGACCTTGCTCATGTTATTGCAATTCAGTGCTATTGAGGACAAAAGTGAGTATGTTCACAGAATACTGATAAATGGTTGAAGAAACAAAGGCATCGTGCCTCCAAAACTCTAAACAAAGATTTAGCCAGGGTCAGATAACAGACAAGGCACTAGGAAGGGGCTGCGCTGAGGCTTCTCATGTGACTTCTGTCTCAATTCCTGGAAGTCCAGTGATATAGAAGGTGGACCACTACCCAGTGAACCAGTTAAATAATCATTTTCAGAACTTGGGAGGCTGCATCAGACATGCTAGTTCTGCTAAGAATAGGCCCAAGGTAGATGAACTGTACAATCAGTTGAGAGCCAGATCCAAGATATGTGGTACTGGCTGCCTGAACCCTAAGAATATGAAATATCATTGGTGGGTGGACATCCTTCCAGGGGTACCTTCACTAGTACTGTGCTTTGGATATGTATAAGACCCTTTCAGAGTGCCTCAGCTTCTCAGTATCTTTGCCTGCTGCTTGCATACTACTTTGATGGGCAATATTTGGGTTGGTCACCTAGATA